GAGGTGTTGCTGCAGATGGGAAATAGGGTTGGGGTGGGGAGGGTTTATGGTTAATTAAGAAAAAAGGGGGGGGGGGATAATAAATAAATAAAAAAATTTCATACCTGGGCCCGTCTGGGTCTGCCGCGGTTCTGCCATGGTCGCGGTTGAACTGCGGTAGACAAGATTCAGAGATGGGTTCCCACCGCGGTTTGACCGCGGTCGCGGTGGAACCGCGGTCTGGGCCCTATTCTGATTCTGCGTTTGTTCTGTTTTTTTTTGTTTTTTTTATTTTTTATAATATGTTACACTTACAACAATTTCGTGGGTTGCCTCCCACGCAGCGCCTGATTTAACGTCGCAGCACAACTCAGATGAGCGCAATTAAGGCTCGCTCGACCTATGTGGTTCAGTCAGATGTAACTCAGACACTTCCTTTGGCCCGCTCATGCCCACATACAGTTTCAATCGCTGACCATTGACTCTAAATGTACGAGAGTCATTCTCAGTGGCAATTTCAACAGCTCCTGAAGGGAAAACTTCAACTACTCGAAATGGTCCAGACCATCGTGACTTAAGTTTACCTGGGAACAGACGGAGTCTTGAGTTGTATAGCAATACCATGTCCCCGGATTTGAAATTTCTCTCAACAATGTTCTGGTCGTGCAGCCTTTTCATTCTCTCCTTGTACAACTTTGTGCTCTCGAAAGCAAGATATCTGAACTGCTCGAGCTCATGCAGTTCAGTGATTCTTGTTGTGCCCGCATCTTCCATGTCTAAGTTTAGCTGCTTCAATGCCCACCACGCTTTATGTTCAAGTTCCACTGGCAGGTGGCAGGCCTTCCTAAACACCAACTTGTATGGTGACATACCAATTGGAGTTTTAGGCAGTTCTGTAAGCCGAGAGTGCATCATCTAGCTTTCTCGCCCAATCAGTTCTTGTGGCGTTCACAGTTTTGGTTAACACACTCTTGATTTCTCTATTGGACACTTCAACCTGTCCACTAGTCTGCGGGTGGTAAGGAGTAGCTACCTTATGACGCACATCATACTTAGCAAGCAACTTTTCAAAGGCTCTGTTGCAGAAGTGAGTGCCTCCATCACTGATAATTGCTCGTGGTGTCCCGAAGTGGGTGAATATGTTCTTCTTCAAAAATCCCACTACCTACATCGTTGGTGGGTAATGCAGCAGCTTCCACCCATTTGGACACATAGTCTACAGCAACAAGTATGTACTTATTGCCATAGGAGCTGACGAAGGGACCCATGAAGTCAATCCCCCAGACGTCAAAAAGCTCCACCTCTTGAATTGGGTTCATGGGCATCTCGTGGCGTCGGGAAATGTTCCCGGTCCTCTGACATTCATTGCAGCCCTTCACCCATAGGTGCGCATCTTTAAACAATGTTGGCCAGAAGAATCCAGCCTCTAGCACCTTTGCCGCTGTCCTAACTCCTCCAAAGTGTCCACCATACGCCGATGCGTGACAAGCCTGCAAAACAGAAAATTGCTCTATCTCGGGGACGCATCTCCGGATCATATTATCAAGGCATATTTTAAACAGATAAGGCTCGTCCCAGTAATACTGGCGGCTTTCACGATAAAACCTTTTCCTTTGGACCGATGAGAGGTCGTGAGGAACTATACCACTGGCTAGGTAATTAGCAAAGTCTGCATACCATGGCGCTTCCTGATGAGTGGTGGCGAGCAGCTGCTCGTCTGGAAAAGTTTCCAGGATTTCCTCAACCTCTACTACATTTTCAGCTCCCTCAAGTCGTGATAGATGATCAACGACTTGATTCTCAGTGCTCTTACGGTCACGAATCTCAAGATCGAACTCTTGCAATAGCAACACCCAATGAATCAGGCACGACTTAGATTCTTTCTTTTCTATTAAGTTCCTAAGAGCTGCATGGTCAGTAGATACAATTACCTTGGACCTTATCAGGTAGGATCGGAACTTGTCAAATGCGAACACTACAGCCAACATCTCCTTTTCAGTCACAGTATAGTTCAACTGGGCTCCACTCAGCGTTCTACTAGCATAGTAGATTGGGTGCATCAGTTTGTCCTTCTGCTGGCCCAGCACTGCCCCCACTGCATAGTCACTGGCATCACACATTAGTTCGAACGGTTTCTCCCAGTTGGGGGCAACAATGATGGATGCTGTGACCAGTCTTTTTTTAAAATCCTCAAATGCTACCCTGCAATCATCAGTAAACAAAAACGGGTGATCTTTTTCTAACAACTTACAGAGAGGGTTGGCAAATTTGGAGAAGTCTTCTATGAAACTCCGGTAAAAACCGGCATGCCCAAGGAAGCTTCTGATTGCTTTGACTGAGGTTGGGGGAGGCAGCTTTGCTATTACATCCACTTTCGCACGATCCACCTCAATTCCCTTGCTTGACACCCGGTGCCCCAAGACTATGCCTTCTTGTACCATGAAGTGGCACTTCTCCCAATTCAGAACCAAGTTAGTCTCGATGCACCGTTTCAGCACTCGCGTCAGATTTATCAGACACTCATCAAATGAATTCCCCACCACTGAGAAGTCATCCATGAACACCTCCATTATGTCCTCTACCATGTCAGTGAATATGTCCATCATGCACCGTTGGAATGTTGCAGGTGCATTGCATAGGCCAAAGGGCATCCGTCTAAAGGCATAAATGCCATAAGGGCATGTGAAGGAGGACTTCTCTCTGTCCTCCGGTGCAATGGAGATCTGATTGTAACCTGAGTACCCATCCAGGAAACAGAAGTGTGACCTCCCTGCCAGTCTGTCCAACATCTGATCAATGAAGGGAAGTGGGAAATGGTCTTTCCGGGTGGCAAGATTTAACTTCCGATAGTCCATGCAAATTCTCCAGCCTGTGACGGTTCTTGTAGATATCAATTCATTGTTGTCATTTTTCACAACCGTCATGCCACCCTTTTTAGGAACACATTGAACTGGGCTCACCCAGCTGCTGTCAGAGATTGGAAAAATAATTCCCGCATCTAACCATTTTATTACCTCCTTCTTCACCACTTCCTTCATGTTGGGGTTCAGCCTCCTCTGGTGTTCCCTGGAAGGTTTGTGACCCTCTTCCAGCAGAATCTTGTGCATGCAGTAGGCGGGGCTGATCCCCTTGATGTCTGCCATGGTCCACCCAATGGCAGTTTTGCACTCCTTTAGTACCTGTAAGAGTTGTTGAGCCTGCATATCTAACAAGCTAGATGAGATAATAACAGGTAATGTGGAGTCAGGCCCCAGAAATTCATACCTGAGGTGGGCGGGCAAAGGCTTTAACTCCAGCTTTGGTGGTTCTTC